GATTCGACCTACACGGTGCAAAACGGTTAGTTCAAGCGCCAAGTCAGTTGTTTCGTGCTTCTCGAGTTCCAGGGCGAGATTACGGCAATTTCAAGAGACAGGCGCTCAGCGCTTGGCACTTGACCGCCACGGGTAGCCGCCCTACGCAGTGAGAAGGTTACTGGGTCGGAGGGTTATGACAGTCCAGACAGCCGGGAGGGAAGAGATATACAAGCAACAGGGGAGGGTGGTCAGGAGGCTTAACATGAAGGGGGCTGATAGACGAGGGGTAGGGAATCAGGGAGGATCACCTCCGGTACCTTTCCTTCCTGTTGGTTGCAGAGGCCACAGGATGTAGCGGGGTTCTTTCCAAGGTGGAACCAATCGAGCACAAAGGCTTCAGGGACAAAAGTAGCTTAACAGGCCGCCACAACAGGCGGTGGTCTCAGGGGATCGGAGGTTGGTTTAAGGGAGTCACAGGAGGAGCATCCGGTATTAATGCGGATAGAAGAGGCTTGGGGGAGACCGACAGAAAGGGAGGGATGTATGGGGCGGAAGTATTAGATTAACAGGCATTTTGGGACATGACGAGGAGCAGCAGCAGCAGCAGCAGCAGGAGGGGACGAGGGATGACCCGAAACCGAACCACACAGACAACCTAGACGGAGCCTAAAGGGGAAGGGGTCCACATGGTTGAGAGGGATAGATCACAGTAGCTGACAAAGGAAATGAAAGAAAAGTAATGAGCTGTCTGGACTGAGAAAAACGGACTGATGATAGGACAGGGGAGGCGCAGAGGATGAGAGGACGAGGAAGAGGAGGGGTAGTAAGTATTCGGGTATCCCACCTTGTATTGCTATTATTATTGTTGTAGTAGACGGTAATAGATGATGGTGATGCCGTTGATGCTGATGACAGACAGTGATGGTTCAAAGAGATCTGTCTGCAGTCTAGAGAGTATATGATTTGCTACCAAACCACCCACTGAGGAGTCAGTCACCGTAGCAGAAGCCGAGAAAAAAGTATTGCAAATTAGAGATTCGACAGTGCGCAAAGGAAAAAGAACCCAAATAAGGATAAAGTGAGGAATCAGAGCGCAAGGAAAAGCAAGAGCGCAAACAGCCAAAGTGGAATGTGGCTGATTGTTTGACTGGACAAAGGGAAAGCGTGACAGTGTTTCTTTTACCTTCAACAAACTATCCGTAATATTTTTGATAATTCCTTTTCCTCCCTTTTCCCTTTCGTTTAATCCCTTCTGTTTGGCGCGCTCGAAGAGGTCAAGACTGAAAGAGGAGAAGACTACAAGAGAGTTGTGTGGAGGGGCAAAAATGTGGGCGGGCTTTTTTTTTCTTTTTGGTGAGCGGCGGGGACAAGACGAGATAGACTAGCCCTTGGGATCAGCGATAACTATGTTCGATTGACAGTTGCAGACAGAGAGGCTCGTGTCTTGGTAATGAGCTATTGACAAGGGACGACTTTAGAAAACTACCGGAATGTCCGAAACGTAGGAAAGGAGGAACTTCTTTAGCTGTGAATACCCTCAAGACTCGAGCAGTTGCATTCGGGTCGAGGAATAATAAAAACGAAGCTATTTCGATAATAATGAAAATAATACCTACTGTCGGGAGGATAATCCAGAAAGGCTAATAAATGGGGTCAACCGACAGCGCCAGAGACAAAAGGAATAGTCAATTCCTCTGATGCTCCGTATCTCTCCATCCATCGTCACGCATCAGCATTGAAGACGAGGGACTGGAGAATCGACTTAGCTTCATCTGGCGTCATTTTATGACCTCGTGAGTATGCAATCTCCACCAGCAGTTGAATCCCTGGGTAGCCTCATTAATAGCCTTTAAGAATATATAAGATAAATTTTCATCCGAAGTCGTCTCTCAGATTTCATCCCCACTTTTTCGCTGGAGATGCACGTTGAAATCATCGCAGTACAGACTGACGTAGGGTGTCAGCTAGTCAGCCTCTCATTGGTGGTAGGGTCGTGTTAGGTTCACTGGCAGGGGGGAGGTTCGATCCACTGCGACATCATCGCCAAATTCCCTCCCAAGTCCTCGTTCCCCCGACCCTGGCCAGGCTGTCATATTATCTCAGACATCAACATGCTACTTTTTGACGATCCGCTAATTCAGTGACGAGTGAGTCCTTTCCGAATGAGTTCGCATCCAACGGAATCCGTCTTTCTCGGCAGTCTGACATCACAACCGACACCATCTCAGGCCATGGGCTGTTCTGGGCCCTCAGGAACCCGTCCCAGATATAGTGGATGTCCGGAAAGTACGTACCGGACAAGCAAACATCTAGAGTAAGAAGAAGCCCAAAGAACGACAAGGAGTCGCCAATTCGCCCGGCGCTTTTCTTGGTGCTCACCCTACCTGTGTTCTTGCCAGAGAGCAGTCAGCGGGGTTTGACAGACTAAAACCGAAACGGATAATCCGTCCCAGTGGGATACCCAAGCGACCAGTGTCGGTGCCATTCCACAGCCTTGGTTGGCTTCGCATCGATACCAGATGAAGATTGAGGCACTGAGGCTCCTGATTGAGTTATCCAGCACTCTCGCATCATCTCGCTGCTTTTCCTTTGTCAGATCGAGAGGCATTATGTGGCTTTATATCTCCTCCAAGTCGAGGGCGACAAGGAACCTGACATTTTCTCTTTCCCCATTGTGGCTTCAGCCATTCTCGACATTCGAGGGTGATGAACTTGACCGCTGTTGGTCAGTTCGACTATGGCTGTGACTTCCAGCCAATCATATTTGGAATAGACGTGAAAAATGACATCACAGTGGATTCGATCCAAAGTTTGGAGCAGACAAACGGCCAATTCGGGAATTTTGGCTCGCCTATGACGTTAGGGGTCATTGCCAAGTCGCGCTGAAGCTCGGGCCCTCTCGGCTGGAAGTATGAAGAGGGGCCAAATGGCTCCCTACGACATTATAGCACATATCCATTCACTATTATCATGAAGATATGAATGATCATGGAAATAGGGATGGGCTGACTATCAGAGACACTGGAAATCTCAAGTAGTTATTGAAGTAAGTGGGGAATGGGTCAGCCGAGTTCTGAAAGATGGACGGACAGTTCCTGCCTACTGTCTCAGGCATTCAGTGTTATCTAGATACTCGGTGTACGGAGTAGGACATTCTACGACTATTGACAACAGTGTGGACACCCTGGTCGGCCTGACTACCTTAGCATACTACGTACTGTTATTTCTCTCAACGTCTCCACATCAACTGATCAACTGATCCGAATACCATCTGGCATATGCATAGAGCTCTGCTACTAACATATTATTGATAGAGAACGGAACCATCGCGGATCTGATCCGAGAAGCAGAAACAGCATATCAGTAACTGTTATCATTTCGGCATACACTCGGTACTCATACACCTCACCACTTACACTGCTTTGTTTATATGACATCAGGCTGCATGGCTGGAAACTTTGTCGGATGACAAAAGTCAAAAAATCTTCGTCTGTTCTTAGCGTCAACATGAAAGCGGTGTCCTCCGCACACTGGTATCTTTGATATGGTTCAACAGATGAAGATATCTAGGGTTAATTGAGTAAATACCGACTGTTATGCCGCACAGAGCTCAGACGGTCACTTTCCTATAATCTGAGCTGATATCAGACTTTCTATTAAGCAATCCATGCCTCTGCTTAAGGGGACCTTGTTATCTGCTGCCTGTCAAGATAGATCGATGATGTTGAACATCATATATTGGAGAAATCGTACACGGAGTGCATCAATATGATGAGTTCTATCTAGGTTGTTACAGCCGAGGATCGATTTGATCAGAGTTATTACATAATCACCAACCATCCTCCCATCAAATCAACAAAAATAACCACCTTCATAAGCTCCGGTGTCACGTCCATCAGCCAATTGACAAGTCAATTTATCATAAATCGTGAGTCTTAACTCTGCTGAATATTTGATCCTTTCGAAACTTACCAGTCTCCCTTCCCCTGCAAGTAAACTGCACATCTACTGACACGCAAAAAGGAGTACGCGACAATGTCCCAGTCCACCACAAGAGCCTCATCGGCTCCCCGGGCCTCGGCCTCGGGCCTTACTCGCATCTACCTCCTCGCCTACAATGCCATCAGCTTCTCTCTCTGGGCCACCTGCGTCATCCGCGGCGCAATGCTAGTCCTCTCGCTCGCGCCCAACGGCCACCTCCCCGCCATCTTCCACCACGTCTACTCCCCGCTGCTCACAACGACTCAGACGCTCGCGGGCCTGGAGATCCTGCACAGTCTGCTGGGCATCGTGCGCGCCCCCATCATCACAACCGCGATGCAGGTCGCCAGCCGCCTGCTCCTGGTCTGGGGCGTCATGTATCTCTTCCACGACCGCGGGGATGGGCACGGCGGCATCGTGGGCGGAGACTTCCACGAGGCATTGCCGTATGGCGCTGGCGCCAAGGTAGGCGATTATGCGTTCCTGGGATGTCTGGGGGCGTGGGGTGTCACAGAGTGTATCCGGTATGGGTTCTTTGCGTTGCAAGTTTGGGGCAGCGGTGTGCCGAGTTGGTGGACTTGGTTGAGGTATTTTTTCCCGTTTTGTGTTGTATATGTATGCGCTTGCTGACGATTGCAGGTATAATACTTTCTATGTGCTCTATCCAATCGGTATCAGCAGCGAGTGCATCATGGTTTGGAAGGCCCTCAAGCCTGCTGCAGAATGGAACCCTCTTTACTGGTGGTTCTTGGTGGTGGTGCTTGTCATCTATGTTCCGGGTATGTTGGTTTTTTTGGGCAGCGCGCGAGCGGTCGCTAACTTTCTTCAGGCTCATACATTCTCTACACGCACATGATCGCACAGAGGCGCAAGGTAATGAAGAAGGGAAGAGCCGAGTAAGTGTCAGTTACTGTAAGATTACCCTGTGGGTGACGAAGCTGTCATGATGTACATCTATGTAATCAGTTATGGAACGCCATCTACTTGGCTATACTATATTCTCTATAGCTTAAAATTTCTATATTGCCAGATCTGATCTATAGTTCTTTCATGATATCTCGTACAGCTTTGGCAGCAAATTTCTTGCGCTCACTCTCCGGTAACTCGGAACTCATGTCTGTTCTATTAGCCTGCGAAAAAATAAATTTCCTGGAAAAGACATACCTCTGATAGCCTGCATCCGCATCATCAAAGCCTCCAAAGACTCGACCTTGAGTCCGTCGTCGTCTTCCTCATCCTCATCGTGATCATCTCCGTCATCACCTCCATGCTCAATCGCCATCCGCAGCCCAAGCATCTCGCGTTCCAGCTCGTTGACCTCAAGATCGAACCCGTTCTCCCCCCGATCCAGTCCCAGAAGATGCTCCTCGAGACCATCGTCGCTAAACCCACCGGGATCCGCATCCTCAGACGGCGCAGCCCAGTCATGCGTCTCGAGGATCTCCCTAATGCGCCGCATACCCTGGTATTCTGCCACAGCAATCAGTCCACACTCACCACCCACAGAGAAAGAAAAAAGACCTACCCCCGTAAACATTCCGCTCCTCCCCCTCCTCCCCCTTCGGATCCCACTCGAGCACCTCCACCCCCACCATCCCCATCTCAAACAGCTGATCCTCCCACCACCCAACAGAAAACGGTTCATCGCTCGCACCATCCAACTCCTCCAAATCGGCGTCCTCGCCGCGCACTCGCGCATCTTTATGTCCTCTTGCTCCTCCTACTAATACCAGCAGCACAGGGACATCCCCGACCTCCCCGCGCTCCTCCTCAATTACGTTCTTGACCCGGCCAACCGCAGAAAGAAACTCCTTGAGCCTTTTCACGTCGTCTCCGGACCCGGGTGAACCTGCACCTGTACCTGTATCCGTGCCCGTGCCCGTACCAGCAGGCAAACTCGCGCTCGTATCCTCCAGATTCTTAATACAGAGCACCAGCGCCCCTATCGCGTCGCGGACAACCCGTGCGTCTTCGCCTGAGAACTCGACTGCCCATTGTGCGGGCGAGGGCGAGGGTGAGGGAGAGGTTTTCCCTTCATCCCCTGTCTGTGTTTGTGTCTGCTTTTGTGTTTGTGTGTGTGCGCGTTCATCCACCGCCGCAGGGAGGGGGATCTCGTCAACCCATATCGGGATATCGGCGGTGTAGTACTTGTTTGTGAGGCGGAGGGGAGGGTGGGTGGTGTACCCTGCGAAGGAGGCCGGGGGATCAGCGACTGGGGTTTCTGTTAGGGAGTACAGGAGCGATGGGATCGTCGAGGTTGAGTGTGAGCTTGGGCAGAGGATGAGGAGACGGCGTGGGTTGCGAATTTGGGGTGCGCTCGCGGAGTTGAGGTGGGGTGGGGAGGTCATTCCGGTGGAGGGTCAGTCGGATTGCGCTGGATCGTATCAAGGGCTGTTGTGTATGTAGAATTGTTAGGGACGAGGTACTGCTTGCTCTGCTGCCATGTGGATTGGAAAATGTGGTTTGTTGCGGGGAACTTTTGGCGGAGAAGATTTCGGGGTGTTGGATTTATCTACGGACACCAGGCTGTTTGGAGAGCAGTCAAACAGAATTGGGGCTATTAGCCAGCATTGAGAGAAGCTCTATTTGTTGCAATGCCAGGTAATCACCACCGGTGCATTTCAAATGGTATGCGACGCCTGCATGTCTCGCAGTACACATCGTCCACCGAGTCAATCCTCCCTCGAGCTGGACATACGATTGCACTTGTAAGAGAACCCAGAGATGAAAATATGAAAATCTGTTATCGCAGGGTATCGCCCCGTAACCGGTCTTCAAGAATCACATTTTTCAATCCCACATAAGTAAGGTACCATTTGGAACGACAAATGACGAAAACCACATGAAAGAAAACGCCAACGAAAAAAATCCACCAGATCAACCCCTCCGTTGTCCCCGAGCCCTCTGCACCGTCGCCTTACCACGAGCAAGACCGACACCTCTACCGCGCTGGCCGCGTGAACGGAACATGGGTGCGTTTCTGCAGATGTCAGTACATAAACACAATAGTAGAACAAAGTTCTAAGGCCAAAGGTGTAAATACCTCAGCATATCCGGCACGATGAAGAACTTGACGTGGCTTCCGCGAATGTAGACTTGGTCCAGGTGCGACACGCGACCATCACGAGCAGTGACTGTGATATCCTTGAGCTGGACGTTCATGTTATCCTCAGCTGGTAAAAGCGTCAGCACTATCCTTAAAACCCGGGTTATAGCTATATGTGACGGCGACGAACCCTCCAAGAGCTTTCCACGATACACCACCCCCGAAGTAATCTCCAGTGTTACGACGTGGCCCTGCAATTGTAAGTCAGCTTGAGTCGATTATTCTCTATGCAGCCAGCGGAGTAAGCGAACCTGAGCTTCATTCAAGAGCTTGATGGGGATACCGATGGTGCTGGTCAATTTACCCATGTTGAAGGATCGGATGCGATTCGAGCAAAGTTACGCGAAAAAAGTGGACGGTCGGCGCGAGAAAGGATTGAGCGGAAGGGACACAAAATCAGACTTTTATTATTGATTTCAGGATTCGAGAGACCGCTCTGTTAGACAACAAAATCCGAGTCCGATGAAGAGAAAGAATGTGGCGCCGATGAACTGAGTTGAGCGGGTTGAAGCTAGCGGAGGTCCAGTCAAGGCGGAGAGTTCCCTAGTTGTGCGGCTCTGCTGTAACTTTCTCCGTACCTCTCTCTCGTACCTCTCTCTCGTAGATCTTCATCTTCAGCTTCATCAAGCGACCTCAGTATATAACGTGGAACGTGGACTATCTTTATTGATACGTTCCTCAATCATGAACACATAACTACAACCACTTTCAAGCCCCTCACTCAATTGGCTCCGAGCCTCCAACATTATTCATCCTTCCTGATCTCATCCGTATACATCAACAGCTTCAACTCCACGGAAAAAAGGAAAATGGCCAGCACACCAAACACCAACCTCCGCGGCTTCAACCACGCAGTACAAACCCTCCTCCGAAACCCCTCCCAATTCCTTCCCCACCTCACAATCCCAACCTTCACCCACCTCCCCGAAAACCTCGGTCCGCATCTCCACAGACAACCTCCCAGCGCCGTCAACCCAGGTGAAAAATCAGCTGCAACGAAATCACCCACAATCCGCGCCCTCGTCCTCGACAAAGACAACACCCTCTGCCCACCCAAAACAACAACCTTCCCTCCCCAGATCCTAGACAAGCTCTCCGCGCTCCGCAACTCGCCCACCTCGCCCTTCAACCAGTCCACAGCGCCCGACTCGATCCTCATCGTCTCCAACCGCGCAGGGAGCCATCCGCGTTTCGACGCTGAGGTGCGAGAGATCGAGGAGCGGTTGTCATTCCTGCGGATTCCCGTCTTCCGATTGCCCGAGGGCAGCGAGAAGAAGCCGTTTTGTGGGAAGGAGGTGGTGGATTGGTTTCGAGAGCGCGGGGTGGTGACGCGCGCGGATGAGATCGCGGTTGTTGGGGATCGATTGGGGACGGATGTGCTGATGGCGGCTATGATGGGGTCTTGGAGCGTCTGGTGTCGTGATGGGGTCTACGAAGGCGTGGATCCGAACAAGGGGAGGCCGAATATGAATGTCCTGGAGAGGATGGAGATTTGGATCGAGAAATATCTGAGGGAATCTCGAGGATTGAAGGCGCCGCTGCCAAGGGGATGGGAGAGCCAGTAGAGAAGCTCTCTCATCATTTGTACTATATTCATTTGATACCCGCTTATACCAGCTATATGTAGTTATACTCAAGAGGCGTCGTGCCTCCACGTCAACAGACACTGTACACCACATGCATGCCATTCTTGGTTGTGATCCTAAGGTGGATTGACCTTAAACACAGGCAGGATCTTGTCTGCCGCTTCCTGGCAACCAACCAGCCGTCTGCGCAACATTTCTCGCGAGGAGGGTTCCAGCGATTGGCGTGACAGCTGGCTAGGTATCGGCCAAGCTACCAAGCGCATACATGCGGAAATGATGAAAATGATGAATCAAAGTCAAAGGAACAAATATGAGTAGGAGACTCAAGCTCAAGAATCCCAAAAGAATCACACCATCACAAAGTAAAAATGCAAACAATTCCTGACCCGCCGACCCGGAGAAGACCAAAAACGATGAAAGTAAGAATTCCCAGCAGATATCGCCCATTTTGCTCACTTCCTGGCATAACCACGTTAAATGACCCTGGCCATGGTCAAAAAAAGAAATCAAGAAGTAAAAATGGACAGGGATCGTAGGGAAGAAAATCAACAGAAATTGTTGGAAAACATGAAGAACACGATGTGTCAAAAGGCGTCAGGACCAGCCGCAAGATAGAAGGGTATAAACACAGAAGAGAAAAAAGAAGAGATAAAAAAGAAGGGAAAAAGTATCAGGAGCAAATATCGAGAAATGTGACGATATAAGCATTCATTCACCCGCACGGAGGGCCGACAGACGCCAAGTTGCAGTTTGAAGACAGCATTTCTGCCATCCTACCGGAATGTCATATTGACAGCCCATCAAATGCCCCAGGGGCATTGGAAACATGGCCAAACCTGGTAAAACTCATAGAGGCTTGAGAAGAACAGACACCTCGTTGCTTGGGTTACTAGCAGGCGGAGAGGACGACAGTGGAGTCATTTCAGTTAGGGTATTGAAAGAACAACCTGGGATAAGGTGCTCATGACCCCGGAGCTAATGAGTTGAGATCAACACCCTCCATGCCTTGATAGTCGGTTGCAAGGAGTGGCGAAGTTTGGCCAGACAAGGTCTGCATGGGCAGGTCGAATGTGTTACCGTCAAGTCCCATGGTGGTGGGCACGGAATAATCCATGCTCTGCTTGACGAACATCTCATTCATACCCATCCCATCATCTCCAAAATTGGTCTGCTGCTCGGTTCCCAGGGTGTACATATCCTGCGGGGTATGCGCCATGTTCGAGAGGGGAGGCGAATGTTCAGCGATCATAGGATCGGCATGGCTGACATTCGAGAAGGAAGGAGCTGCATGCCCCATGCTGGACGAATCCACCGAAGGCGCCACAAAAGGCAGGCTGAATGAAGGGCCCATGTGCGTAGCGACTGGGGTGGACTCACCGGTCGCACTGGTAGCGAAGATGGACGGGCTCGCAAAGTCGGAAGGCGAGCCGGTCGTCGTAGCAGACATAGGATGACCCCGAGGATCGAACCCATACGAAGGGGAGGTGTCGATGCGCAGGTTCAGGGCTAACGGTTGAGCCGACTGCGGTACAGGCGCAAAAATACCCGAGTCCGTGTTATGGTATGGGGCCGGAGTCTGGGACATGTTGTAAGACGGGAAGTGAGACATCTGCATGGCGGAGAAGTCAACAGCAACCGGAACGGAACGACTCCTTTGCCGCTTGTGCCCGCGAGCAACTGGAATGTTCAGGGTCGACTGGTCCTGATACATGTTCATGAATGCCGGCGCGAATTGGTTTGGCTGAGAGGCAGGGCGCTGGATGAAATGAGGCGACATTGGCGGTGCCATCGCAAGGTTGCTGTACGCCAGACGGTTCTGGAAAGACTCCAGCGACACCAACTTGGCCAATTGGACACTAAGAACCTTGGGATGACCTCCCAGATGGTGCACCAGAATCTGGCTCGCTTGCTGATCCTCCGTAAAATCACCGCATTGATAGAATCCACCAGAGTTAGACGAATCCATGTAGAACAACGGAGGCCGATTGAGTTCCACGAGGAGGCCAGCCGGCCTGGTGGGTGCCCCGTTGGACTGGACGTTGGCATCACCTGATTCGAGCGTGATGTTCTTGATGTAGGAAAAGGGGTACTCGATTTTGTATCCGGCAGAATCGTTATTGATGTAATATGTCATGCAGGCTTTTTCGGGGGAGTAGAAGACAACTAGGTCCATTGCGTTTTGCCCGATGCGCCGCCAGCTTCCGATGGTCAGGGAACGGCAGGTGAAGTGATGGATGACTTGGCTACATCAGCAATCGCCACAAATCGACATGATTTAGTTGAACTCACCGACTTTCCCTGAAGGTGCGGACTCGTTCGGGTACGCACCACTGGCTCCATACGCACCTGTGCGCCCGAATGGGTCTCTCGCACCCGCTTTGCTAGGATCGAATTGCATCGCCAGATACTGTCTCATCGATTCGGGAATTGAGTCACAGCCTTCACCGGTTTCTATACTCTTTTTTGCGAGCATCTTAATCTTGGCTCGTCTGTAGTCGCGGTTAGTACACACGAGCAGAAAAGGCCGGATCCATCTTCCACCAACCTGTTCTGGAACCAAATCTGAACCGAACGCTCGGTCATGTTGATCTCCTGAGCGATGCGCTCGCGCGTGGCTGCCGTGGGAGTAGGGTTCTTGTTGAACTCAAGTTCCAGAGTGACTAGCTGATCCTGGGTTGCCCGTTGTCGCTTATTGTTCTTCTGCTGTTGGGTCAGAGTGCTCTTCCGGGGCGGCCGGCGCGATGCCGATGATGAAGGAGCCGTGGTAACACTGGAGTTGGAGGGAGAAGGAGTCGAAGCGGCCGAAGACGACGAAGCCGTGTTCGCCGCGGTCGAGGTTGTCGACATAGTCGATGGGTCGGACGTGTCTGTCGAAGACATTGTTTGCAGAGTATAACTCGGAAGTATATAGATTGGAGAGAAATGAGATATAACCAATTTGTCCAATGGTTCCAAGTGAAGGGTAAAGAGAAATATGACGATCCGGCCGACACGATAGAAAAAAAATGGAGAGGCAAAGATGTCTTCTTTCGAGTCTCTCAAAGCAGCGTCAAGCGCGAGAGGATTCAAGGGTGATTCAAGAGAAGGCAACGGTATGGGAGTAATCGGAAATCAGGGCCGAATTGTTTCCAAGACCAGAAGCCTAGATGGATGGTATAGATGATCGCGTCGCAGAAGCGTCAAGCTGGACGGCGAGAAATGGGGGCTGTCAGAAAAGGAGAGCTGGACTAGCAGCTTATAATGATCAAAGGAATCCTGAAATCTTCGCGACAGGGCGGATATCTTCGATGGAATTGTCAGCACGATAAAGGAGCGTAGGGAGATGACAATCCGAGGATGTGGACGAAGAGAGCGGATTCCAAGGCCGTCGTAAAGGAGTGTAACGAACGACCAGGAAAGTCAATAAAAGAGGTTGGAAGTGAAAAGAGTGGACTCAACAGAGTGAAAGAATGGAAGAAACAAAAGAGTGTAGAGTAAAGAAAAGAGAGAGGGGGAGGGAAAGGGAAAAGGAAGGCTGACAGATGACTGGGGGAAGGAAGAGGGAGAGAGAGGAGGAAGAAGAACGAGTGAGAGACGAGGGAAACAAACGGGTGGAGTGAGTGAGAGTGTGAGACCGGGAGAGCCCCAGAGGAGAAGAGAGTCTAGACAAGGACAAGTTTGCGTGCCTGAGGTTGACCGCAGTCAGGAGATGGGACTTGCCTAAAGGGGCCTAGTGGGGCAGGCTGGCACGGCTGTTCCTGGCTTTTATTACAGATACAGACCAGGTACGCAGTTGCTGACGGTTAAGTATAAGTGGAGGTTCTTTTGTTCTCTCCATGCAGGTACATCCAAGAGTGTGACGGTAACTGTCATGTATTTTTTTTCCCTCCTTCCTTTTTCTACTTTCTGGACGCCGGGAGTCCGAGGCTCAGTTCATACCGAAGGATCTCATCATCCCATGCGTACCTCAGTATTGACGGCTGGCAGATCGCAGGCTGAATTCCGATCGTCTGGTGTTATTGATGTTTAATGTCCACAGGGATATCCCTTTCCTACCAGCGATCTGATATCATCTATTATTATGGTCTCGTTCCGATTCTTCGATTCATGACCCGTTACTGCATATGTTAGGCCTGGATCTCTGGCCTTCCCCGTACCGTACCACAGGAAGAAAGGATAAAACTCGGGATGGCGGTCGCTTTGAGTAGGGGGGCGCAACAAATTAACCAGTCACCATCTCGAATGCGTTTTGGCCCCTGCATCGGGAACTGCATCTGCTGCCCAATGCTTTTTATGACGCATAAGTAGAGGGGTGGCTCCGTATCTATCGCCCTAGTACGAAGGTAGTCTCCAGACGGAGTTACTAGTCCTACTATGCCAGCTACGTCCGAAGTTCTGATAATAGTATACCGTATCGATAGTAACTCCGACTAGAGAAACTAGCCTGCATTCACATACGAATGGTATGCTAGACAGTGTCTATTCTTGGACTCCGTCTTGTTGTCATCAGTGTCACAACTCTGGAGGTTGATGATCCAAGGAGTACGACGAAATACGTTCAAGTCAAATCCAGCGCCCAACGTGGTGCATTCTAGTCTGTACAACACCGGGTCGGGCCACTCCTTCATCTGGTGCGTAGAAGCACGTTGTCATTGGAAACAGGGGACGCTCGGAGTTCGCGGTATTTCTGGTGAATAATCATGTACACGTAGCACCGATTACTCCGTACTCTAGCCCGTATAGAGGTACTGGTTGCAGAAAAGGAAAGGAAAACAAAATAAGAAAGAAAAAAAATAAAATAAAAAAAAAAAAATCAGATCCCCGAGGACGACAGAACTATTCCACCAGAATTCGATCAGTGGAGCACCCACTCGACTATTGCCGACCTCCAAGACACCAACAGTGCTAAGCAAGGTCCTAATTCTAAACATCAAGATCCGGAAGACTGCTGCCGTTCTGGTTGTTACAGTTTGCCGGTTTCCAAGGCAACCAATAACCCACGTACGAAGTATGTAATTTCAGGTTTGGCTTGCCACTGGACAAAGTTCCAGGACAGAAAAATCCTGTCTTTGAACCCAACCTTGTTTCTTAGTTGCTATTGATAGTGACCCGAACCTAAAGACGACAGGATTCGGAGTCAGGCATACAATTCGCGGACCAGAAACTGAGTAAAACCGTCCTTGCCGGGGAGGGACTAAATTCTTGAAACCAATTCACACGTTTCCAGAATTTCGATCCAGGTACCCGCCCTCCCTGACCCAGCCAGAGAGCAGTCACAATGCTCATTGGCCATGATGTCAGTGACAGCGCCAATAGTAAGGTACCAAACTCTTTCTATTGGGTGTTCTGCTGTGGGGATCCAGCCTATCCGGTAATGTCTCGTGGGTACGGTGGTTCACTGTCGCTTAGATACCGCCGTCCATAGGGATACCTTGAAGTACAAAAACCTGGTGCACATGAAGCTACTCCGTGCAGCGTTTCAGGATCCTACAACCGATGCGAGCTGCAAGGAGACCAGAAACATCAAGCGACAGACTCAAACATCTTCTTCAGTGAGGTGGTACGTACGTAAGGTACCATACTCTCACCACCTCATGGTCCCTCTGTTGATGATCCGTGCGCCCTCTGTCCGATAGCTGACATTCTGATTGGTCCAACCCGCCACTACTGTCGACTCCAGCCGCTAGACCATTCTGGGACAGGGACCAACCACAGTATCCCATCCTAACCGCCACAGAAAAATCGAAGGAACCAGAACCGCCTGAACAGGCAGTTGAAGCCTGTTCAGATGGAAAGACAGCAAGGTTTATTCAAGTGTGAGCTCAAAAAGGTGGGTCGATTGACCGTGTCGATGCTCAATCTGAGTCTATGTGCAGAGCATCTCTTGCCTTAGTCATGTCACGCATCCGCAGCCTAAGAGCATCATTGAACGATCAACATCACTTACTCAAGCTTACCCCAAGGCGAAATCAGAGACTGGGTCAGGGATACTCTTCACGAGAACCTTGCCGTTATTGAAAACACTTTTGTTCGCTAGAATCTCGACTCGTCCAAGGTGCAAAGCTAGGCGGTGGGTTCTCGAGGACAGTTCCATTGGCCGAGATGATGTCGTCCAAGGCTTCCTCATGCCCGTCAACCTGTTTAAGTTGGCTATCCGGGCCGACGATGGGGTGGTAGGAACGGCGATCGGGCGCCTCCTGATGCCACAATTCTCACTGATCAGGATAAATTGAGGTCAATGCTCAAGGTGTAAGCCAGTTGAACTGGTCCGTGTACAAGACCGGGCTTGTCGGCAGATGCGTGATACCATGGACACCATAGTATTGTGTTGTCAACATGCAGCGAACACAAGCCACTGACTGATGAGGAATTGATTCTTCTCATACCGGCATCCCCACTCCAACGACGAAGTTGCAGGCAGGGATTGTGTCTCCTTTCTCTGACCAGTAGTCCTATAGATAACGTCATCGTCATCCATACACTCAATGTTGTGGTCTGAATTTCCATCGAGCAGCAAGATGACACAGCCCTTGTCACTACTCTGTCCCTGAAAGAAGCTTTTATCGAGGTTCGCATTGACGTTCAAGTTCACAACCATTGTTGACCTTCAGCCAGGAGAAGTCACATGCTCCCCCTTAGAGCTGGTCGTATATGTTGAGGCTGTGATTGACGGTGCAGCACAAAGACAATGATAAGTCTTTACGGTGAGCTCTGTCTCACTAACATACAAGCAATATGGCGGCGTAGGCTGATGTTACATTGCCAAGATGAGAGGTACGTCTTGTTCTGTACATAGCATCATCGCTAAATCCCCACGAAGTGAAACTTGACCAGTTACCTCTTTCGATAAATCAGGGGTCTTCAACCCCAGATGACTCGGGCCATCTATCTTAAATTAACCTCCATACATAAGCTATAACATGGTCTGATATTCTGATTAGCCCTGCAGATGACATGGATCTTAAAGAAAGTAATCCCCCCTCCATCACCCACTCCCAGGCCCTAAGTTACTCCAGGCGCGTATCCATGTATATCAATTCCTAGCCCTAGCCTCTCTGGCGAGCGTCAGCGCTGCAAACATGCTAGCCAGCGAGACAAGCTTCTCAAGTACAAGTACAACCACAACCTCCCTCCCAGCCCTCACAACGCCCTTCGTACAGCCCCCCGAATGCACCTCTATCTGGGATATAACAAGCACCGCAACAAGAATCAACTCCACCCTCCGACTCACCACCATCCTAATCTCAGACCCCGCAGACGAGCGATTCTCGTCTTGCCAACCCCCAGGATGGGACAGCAATAGCACGGCCCGCTTCTCATTCAGCCCAGCCGTGTGCCCCAGCGCATGGACATACCATCAAATGGCCACAGATCGACTTGACTATAGGCGATCAACAGCGTACTGCTGCTCCAGGTGTGACCTGCCTATTCCTGGACTCATGATTTAGACCAGCCCTCCCTTCCTCACAAAAAGCACGACCAGAACTGACTTTGCACATCCTATAGCGGCTTCTCCCTCTCAAGAAACCTAACCGACCTCTACAACATCAAGGCCTCATGCTACCGTACCCTCACCCCCGGTGAGACAACAATCACAGGCACACTCTCCCACGGCAAAGGCGCGCAGGTCCTGCTCACCGACGGGATCCAGGTCCACGAGGCATGGGCTATCTCGTGGGCAGGGTCTGACACGGCGACAATGTCGCCATCGCTGCCTACACTAACGAATTCGATGATAGTACCGACATGGGTGCCGGGGGAGATCATCCCACCGGGCAGGTACGACAGGGGCTATGAGGGCTCGGATATGCCCGGCTGGGAGCCTATCTTGCGGTTTCTCATGATAGGCGTTCCGATCATTGGTGTAGCACTTTTTGCGACGAGTGTTTGGTGTTGTATCTGGTGCAGGAGGGTGAGACGGAAGGAACGGCAACAGAGGGGGGTATTGGCCAATCCGCAGGAGATATGTACTACCCCATTGCAGTCTACATAAGATTGTGGCAGGCTCCATACAAGCTTCTGTCAGATATTCCATGGAGAAAGACACAGTAGACGTCGTATTCTATCGAGACACACGGTTAATACAGTGGGTATGAATATACTGATCTCAGGCTCATGTACAACAGTGCAGATGGTATATAACAGTAAGCCAACAAACGATAGACTGAGCACCCCGGGGTATACGGTGCTAACGCCATGACGCTCCGTAATGACAAAAAAGAAAGAAGCAAAAGCGATCATTTCAGCTGGCCCTTTCGAATGGCGCCAAACCCTTTGGAAAACAACTCGTGAATCTCCACCGATCGGCGTGGCGTGCTCGTTCCCTCATCTTCCGTCGCGTGTCCAGAGACATCCCTGCTGGAACTGTTCAACTCGCTCAGATCGATTTCTTGCATTTCAATCTGGCCAGAACCGGTCTTGGTCATGACTCTGGGCCGCGCCAGAAGCTCTTGGACATGTTTCTCGCGCGCCTCCGTCTCCGCCGCCTCTTGAGCCAGCTCGAAGCTCGACTTCTTCTTGCCACGATCCCAGCCTTGCTGTAATTCAGACGCGGCGGCCTCTTCAAATCTCTTCCGGATTTCCAAGTCCTGCTCGTACTCTTGGAAGATGTCGACGTCTGTGGGGAAGAGGTTCGCTCTGATCGCGCTGACAGACACCTCGAAGACAACAACAGCGACGACTGTAACGAAGAGAACCGCCCAGAAAGCCAGGTCGCGGCCGGAATGCAAGATGAAGTTGCCCGGCACGTGATAAATGCCATTGCCAGATTTGATCTGGTACCGGCGGGAGAGAATCAGGTTCCATAAGAACCATCCTCCAACTGAAATCACAATGACGATCAGAGAGAGGTAGGTCTTGTTATGCACCTCCAAGGCCTGTAGTTTGGTGTTGATGATGATGACGCAAGCGGAGTAGGTGACAAGCCCGGCCGAGAAGATGTCGCTTCCAGTATTTGTGAAGAGGACGTTTCCGAAAAGTCCATACATGACGAAAAACACAATCATAGCTTCACAGGTGGCCATGAACGTCCATCCAAGGTAGAGCTTGATGTTGAACCCGCCATGCCGCTGACCTTTGGTGTATAACTCTGGGACAGCCAACAGCGTGGACGCAGACAAGTCTTTCGTGAATATACCAAGAAAGATAACAGCGAGCGATGTGAACAGAGTATTAAACATACTCAAACTCCATGGCTCGTACAAGCTGGTTCCAGTATAGCCGTTCCAACGCTGATACAGTGCCTGGGTCAAGTAAAACAGCATTTCCTTCCAGAACGTACCAAGCGTGTATTTGCAGGCTCGGATGTAATTCCACCGCCCGTGAACGAGTAGTAGCTTCAGCAAGAATCTGAACTGGGCAATCGAGTAATCGGAGATCCGAGCTGCTTGCAAGCCTTCCTTCCCAGTGATACCAATTCCAACATGGGCCTCCTGGATCATGGCAATATCATTGGCACCATCACCAATCGCAAGAGTGACAGAATCCTTGACTTGAAGCCGGATGGATCTGACAAGGAATGCCTTTTGTTTTGGACTTGCACGGCAGCAGATGACAGTATCAACCAAGATGGCCAGCTTGAAGAACTGAGCTCGGAGAGTCTCGTCGGATTCGATGATCGACAGAGTTTGTCCATCAACAACGACGACAGAGTGAGCCACAGATCCTCGACTAATATCTGCAGTCATCTTCAAGATTGAGCGTTCAACATCTCCAGTTTCATGGTCGAGAATGACAAGAGAAGAGTAGTCTTTGACCAGACGGCAAGAGTGCCCGACGTTGATGGCGGTTTCACGTTTGTCGCCGGTGAGCATCCACAACTTGATATTGGCGCGTCTCAATTTGTCAATGGCCTCGGGTACACCCTTTTGCAACTTGTCCTCAATCGCGGTAGCCCCAGTCAATTCGAGCTGTTCTTCAATTTGAGCACCAACCTTCTCGATCTTTTCCTGACGGTCAATGAGACTGGTGCTAGCCTCATGAAAGGCCGCCTTCCACTCGTGATACGTGGAATCGTCGAGGAAACGATGGCCATACATGAGCGTCCGTAAGCCCTCCGTAGCAAAATCATTCAGATGCTGGAAGCACCTCTCAAAGACTGCCGATTCGTTTACGACCAGCGCCTCCTCGACCAGATCGTCTTGGTCCTCCTCGTTGACAGAGCTTCCCGAGTCTGAGAAAGACGTGGATTGCCTGCCAAGCTGAGCAGACGGACGTGGGCTATAGTACTCATCATCATATTCCCTTGTCAAAAGACCACCATCAGTCTCACGATCACGAAGCCATACATCGATGCTTTCTCTCAACACAGAGACGTTCTGCCCGGAAACACTGGAGCGTCTGTTCTTTGTCATGCTAGGTCGACCGAAGCTGGGACGACTGAAGCTTGGCCGGCTGAAGCTGGATCTGACTCCACTATCCTTCCGACTCTGGTGCTCACTATTTCGTCTCATTACCTGATTTGCCTCGGCTGCCTTGCGTTTGCTGGCACGCCGCTCAATCTCGACTGCTTTTTCATGAGCAAGAGAGGAGCGTTTGAGCAACCGCATCAAGGTGCTATCAGCACCCTTGCAGAAAAGACAGATGCGTTGGTCCGGCATTCGAACCACAACAGACATGCGTTTCCGAGTGCTTGTGAACTCGATGACGTCCAAAATTTCATAGACCTCATCTTGGTGCTCTTCTTCTGGACCATTGGGGTAAGTCCGAATCGTCAGGGTGTTTGGTTGTCGATCAATGACGAGGTATCCGAGGTCCTGCGCAGCCATCACCAGAGCTAGTTCATCAGGGGATGCTGCCTGGAAAGAAACGTTTCCAGACTCGTCCTTCTCCGGTATGCATGTATGGCACAACGCTATTGCCAGCAGGAACAGCTTGGCTTTCCGCGCGAACACGGTGTAGGGCTTGAGTTGGATGTATCTCAACATATCGGTGGTACGCCGATCGGCCATGGATTTTGCAATCTTTCGAGGGCCCATGGACATCGAACCAGACACCTCCAGAGCGTTCGACACATTCGAGGGTCTTAACACTTCTCGAGTATCTGAAGCGTAGGACTTACGAGCCATAGCCTTCTTGCCTTTGACACTCCGTTTCTTGTGGATCAACATCTTTCGATCACCTTCTCTCGCAGCTTCTTCACGCAGATCGAAGTCATGAAACCAGGCGGTCCCAGCCACGCTCATCATACGGAAGCGCATCGAGTTGTTCGTTAATGTTCCGGTCTTGTCAGAAAAGATATAGCTGACCTGTCCCAGTTCCTCGTTGATCGTGGATGTTCGCGCTTCGAGGGGTGTGTCGGTTTCCTCATCATACATGTCGATGTCGTTCAACAAGAACATCTGAACAACTTTGACGATCTCCATACTCACATAAAGCGAGATAGGAATCATTGTATTGAACATGATCAGGAACGAAGTAAAAATGGGGCCGTAGTCAACATTAGCCTTTTCAAGATACCAAGCGCGGCGCTCAACATCCTGTGACCAATATTTGTACGCAACAGTACAAGCAACCGCCAGGATAATGACGAGGCAAACAATCAGCATAACGACCCGATTGACCTTTGCCTGCAGCGACGGCGACTTTATCCGAGGGTTCTTGTTGGCATTCATTCGGATCTTGCACTCCTCGCCAGTGTAGATGACCATACCAAGGGCGCGTTCGGTATTTCGAAGAATACTGCCGCGGTAAACAACTTCAGTATTCGTCAGGGGCAGCTTCTCCGCGTTCACAATCACATTGCCATCAAATTTGTACAGATCGATGTTCGGGTCCTCCACGGCAAAGTGAATGGAATTGCTGCAGATGTCTTCGACCGTCCCGCACACTTTAGCCACTGGCTGGCAAGGCTGCTTGCTCTTGAGATTGGTCTCGCCATCTAGGGCCATGGTCTCAATGTAAGCTACGCCGTTGGGCCCATTTGCATGGAGTAAGACAATGTCAGCTGGGACAGGCTGGTCACGCTCGAGTTTGATCACATCTCCGACCTTGATGTCCTGCCACTTGATGAGAGCCCAATTCTGCGCATCGCTTGAAACAGAAACGGTGTCGCTGGCGCCAGTGGCGGCAGCAGCGGTAAGACTGGCACCAGGACGAAGAACAGATGCAAGACGATTATTCTCCTCCTTGTCCAAGCGATAACGACGCCAATCGTCAAACCCTTCTTTGCCCATTGAGATACCAACGAAAATCAAAAGAGGGATCAGTGTAGTAAAAGTACCTGTGGTACTCAAACCCGGGATCATCTGCAGGATAGCCACGACCAAGAAATAGAAGTTGGCCAACTTGGTGAACTGAGCGAACAATTGCCTGGGAAAGAAACTCCAGAAGCTATAACGACTGGATCGAATCCAGTTTCCAACATATGGCTTACCAGTCCTTTCGTCAATCAAGTCCTCGGTGCGCGTCACATCGAGATCAATATGACGGCCGTCTTTGGTGGGAGGAATATCCTTGATCCGAAGGATGGCCTTGCGCACCGTTTCAATCGCGTTCTCTAGTCGCACCATGAACATAGTACAAGCAGCCTTCCGCTTCAACCATCTCTCATACGAAACACTCATAGAAAGATGCCTGCCGTCCTTGGGATCAGAGTAGTATGTCGTCGAGCCGTCATCTTTGGGTGAAGATTCCGACGTGATTGCTGGGCGCACGACTTCCGAGTGTTTCTCGTCTCCTGTCGCCTGTGGCTGATCATTCGCTGTCGAAGTCTCCGGTAGCTGCTGCGAGCCAACCGCTGGGCCCAGTTCAATAGCCCCCGGTGATGTTACATCTTGCGTCTGGATGTTCTTTGCGAAAATTGTACGCCGAAGTGAATATCCGCGATTACGGGATCGTGAGCGACCGACATCTGGACTTTGCGGAGACGTTGGGGAAAGAGCGCTATTGGGGGATAGTGGTGAAGTCTGCCCGCGCTCTGGTGATGTAACAGGCGAACGCACTGGGGAGACAGCAGTGTTCGTGATACTCGTATCGATTGTTAGGCCCCTGGAGGCAGGTCGAGTATTCCTGGATTCCTCCACAATGGGCCGGTCGAGGTCCGTTGAAAACCGCACATTTCGCTGCTGAGATGGCCTTCGGCCGAGATCCGACGACATTCGGGACGGCGACATGGAAGATCGAGGATGAGCGACATTTTCCCGTGCAGGCCCGTTATTCGGGGACTGACTCGCCGAAATATTTGAGCTGCGTGTTGGATTCTGCTCGGTCAATGCCTGATCCTCCTCTTGAACCGTGTCCTCCGTGATCCGAGTCTCGTTTCTTGATGCATAGTGTCCGGACATTGCAAGGTGCCGCTCGCTAACGATATCTTTCGCTTTGTTGATTCAATATCCACCCATCAATCTACCACCTTCTCTTATCCTCAACTGGAGTATCAGAATCGAGCGATATATGCGTATTGTCGTAATGATATAATCAAAACCGACGATGCTGGCTCATGCTTTGATCCCGGCGTCCTACCACGATTACCACATCTGCTGCAACCCTGGGTAAAACTTCGGAACTCGTGAGACTGCGCTGTTGCGATCGCCAGATAATTTGCCGACAAAGCGAGAGACGGCTTATTTCAAACAAGAAAGACTGTAGTGGGTACTGCAACAGGTCAATGAAGACAGACTGTAGAACAACACGACGGGTATCGGAGTAAAAAAGAAAGAAAAGAAAAGAGACCAGCTTGCAAAACCCGTACAAGAGAAAGAAGGTAAAAAAGTATAAACAAACAAAAGGCGTCCTAAACCAGCAGTGTAGACAGAGGTCAGAGAGAAAGAAGAAAAAAAGCAATGGATGCTTTCCGCAGACGGCGCCGCAGGAGGCGGTTTGTTGCAACAGACTGGCGACAAAACTCCGGGCTCAAAGAAAAATGGCGGGGGAGAACCGAATCCGGAAAGATGGCCGACTTGACGGTTCGCTGCTGGGAGGCGAGAACGAGGGGATATGCAAGCAGCGCGGAATGCTACAATAAACCGAGAGATTGATTCGAGAAACGATCAAAGACGAGACAAGGAGAGATGAGCAACAAGCTATAATATTAGATATCTAGACTCTTGTTGAATTTCCTGTCTCTCGCAGACTTTGGCTTGCTGTGCGGAGAAACTCCAGAGTCCAGGACTTGGAGAGCGTGGGTCATCTCTACTACTTCATTTACGGACGGCAATTTGCAAAGTAGATGGATATTAGGCTAGATAAACTTGGCTGGCCGCGCAGCGAACATGGGCAGAATGACCTAAGAATAATTAGGATTAACCTCGAGGTTCAAGGTTGGCAGAGGACATTGGCCTCCTCTATCCACCCTCTCCACCTCCAACTCCCGGTCAAATAATCCCACAACAGTGACAGTCACATACACCTCAGGCTACAGCATATCCACTGCCAGATACCATTTGACATCTACTACTCCGTAAGCATTATCATTAAAACTATTCTAAAGAATGCTTCAGCCTGATAATATCCACACTCAAATAGACTAGAAGTCTTGCATCTTCACAGCCCTTTCAGACTTAGACCATACGGAGGAGACAACCTAGTCGTGAAATGCAGTAGTGCACAGCCCCCCTTGGCCTATGAGACAGAAAAGAAGGCCAATAAGTTCTTGAACAGAATGTGTGGATACTTCTGGGCAACCCTCTCCGACTGTGGCGGGATGGAGCGCTCCATACTCCAATTCTGGATTTTGGAACTCACGTTGAACCTACCACAGAAAGGCTTCGGGCGAAACATAGGTACAGAGGTACGTACATCTGAAGAATCAATCTCAATGGACACTGAATAGTGGTCCGTAAGGCCTACCATGGACTGCTTGACAGAAGTTTACGCAGCCTTGTGGGTGCTGTGTACGGAGTACTTGGTAGCGTGGTGGCAAACTTGGTTTTTCTTGGCTTGGGCCGCTGCGTATGAAGCCAAAGCCAGGCTCAGGTCTTCTGATTTTGTGGTTTGCACACACTGTGTACGAATCGATCATTGATCATGTGACTGGCTGCTCAGCACCTCTCAACTAGCGGCCCTACGTCATGCGCGGAAACGTTTGGTTGACAACGGCTCCTAGGTGCAACGATCCCCTTAGACTGAATGAGGTCCCATTCGCCAGCCATCCCAGATATATTGTCTGATAGTGCAGATCGAAGAAGTAGAGATGTCAAACAACTTCCACAAATTATCATAATTGAAAGAATACAAGTCTCGTGAAGCTATGGAACAACATCCTCACCATATCTAACCTACCCCACCGAGTGTACCCAGAAGAACCTCACCCATTCATCTTTCTCAATCTCTTCCGGGCCGTATCAATGAGCAATATCTTGGCAAGGCCCTACATATGCTGCCATAGCAAGAAAAAAGGACAACGACTGTAACCGGCTCTGAAAGTACAGAAGTTACGTATCGTCCGCATTTCGCGATCAGTACCTCGGGGGTGGGGGAGGCTGTCCATAGGGTGGCCTCTGCTGCGGGGGATAGCCACCGGGAGGAGGTCCAGAAGGAGGACGTCCGTATGGGTCAGAGGGCGGAGGGGCTCCATATCCGCCATACGCCTGTCCATAGCCAGGCTGTGGGGGTCCACCCTGGCTTTGAGAGTAAGGCGCTTGGTTGTAGCCTTGTCCCTGGCCATAGGCTCCTGGCTGATTGTAACCAGAGGGTGGGGGTTGGTTATAGTAGCCGGGCTGCTGACCATAGTTTTGGCCTGGGTTGTAACCTCCGTACTGGCCAGGAGGTCCAGGAGGGGGAGGACCGCCGGGACCACCGGGACGTCCTGAAGCCTTTTCGTCCTTGGTATCGTACGATGAATCAATGGAACCGAGCATCAATTTGGCGCACTGGAAATGGTCAGCGAGTCACAACAAGTACTTCCTGGAAGGACCTACCCAGAGCTCGCGAGTCAGATGAATTGGAGGGTTGGCGCGAGCCATCTCATCCTGTTCGACTTCGAAGTCTGGCCATTCTGTTAGCCTAGCGTTCCGTGCTAAGGACGAGTTGCATATGCAACACTACTTACTGGATGTACAGTCGATCAAACCCCCGATGTGGGGATCCTCATCCAGACTGGCAAGGAACTCGCGGGCCTTGGTATCGGTTCCAACCTGCGAAAATTGGAACGAAACGGCACCTCTTCCGTACTGGGTTCTGGATACCTCTTCGGTCGCATATCGAATGGCGTTAGCGACGGTGTCGTGTGGCTCACCGGCAGGCTGACCATCAGTGATGGTGATGATCAGGACAGGCTTCTGCAGACGACCGGCCCGAGCAGGAGCAACAACCATTGGTTCAAGGACCTTGTTCCTCAAGCTCGTACCCAATGGTGTCAAGCCGGCGAAGCGAACACGTGAGACGAGCATATTGACATCATCGACGCTGCGGATACCATCGGCAATCTCATTGGAGTTCATGAAGCGCACGGAGATGCCATCTTGATCGAACGTCGACGCGCCGGTTGCGACGATCCCGAGAATCTGTCTCAGCTGCTCTTTTCTCACTCCCTTCTCTTCGAACTCGATGGAACCACTGTCATCGACATAAAGGACAACATCAAAAAGAGCGAGTTTCATGACGTCCATTGCCACTTCCTGGGGCACTGACCACTCATGGACAAGTCTATCAACCTTTGCGGGAGCTTCATTGGCCAACGACTGGACAAGTCTATCCAGTCTGTCAGGAGGGTAAAAGCTTTGCAGATTCTTCTCTTGAATGGTGCCAATCAAAAGCTGTTTGTAGGCACCGATCTGCTGCTCAGTGGCACGGGCGGGAGGAGCGCCGCCAGGGTGGCCATATCCAGCTTGTCCTGGGGCCCCTGGTGGGCCTCCAGGACCGCCTTGGTACGGCGCGCCTTGGGGAGCATAAGGTTGTCCCTAAACAAGCGATCACAGTCAGCAATCATGATAGGAACAACAAAGTCGCACAGTGACGCAAAACTTGCAAAACACGGCAACCGAATCAATTTGGGAACGCAGTTTGTACATATGCCTGTTGTTGTGGAGAATATGGCTGTCCGTAGGGCTGAGCCTGTGGTGGAGGTGGGGCCGTTCGTCCATAACCCTGCTGGGGCTGTCCTTGGCCATATGAAGGTCCAGTACCGTAGGGTGAAGCCTGAGGATAGCCCTGTGACTGTGGATGGGGACTGTACGGTGCTTGCGGATATCCCTGAGGCGCTGGTGACTGCGCAGTAGGATAAGGAGAGTGGGATGCAGGTGCCGGGGAAGGTGAAGGAGCTGGCTTGTTCGGAGGCACTGAGGGAGCGTTATAGGGCTGATATTGTTGCTGTTGCGGCGGCGGAGTAGATGTTGGATAGGGAGACTGGGGCTGAGCGGAACCAGGTCGAAGCTGAGGAGGATATCCTTGTTGGTTATAATAAGGTCGAGACATGATGATGAACGGCGTCTTCAATCACCGGAGCAGTAGCAGGGAAGGTTGAAGTTTGTAGTCCCAGGAATTGGGGGGTTCGACAATTTCTTATGGAAGGAGGGGCAGACGAGCAATGTGGAGTGATAATGTAACGGGGAGGACAACTTTCATTCGATGGAAAGATTGCTGGCCACAGCGGGCATTTCTTTGAGGAAAGACAAGGAAATAAGAAATGTGGGGAAATGTGAAAATGTCAAGCAGTAAGCAAGAAATTTGCGCTTACCGGATTGCTAGGAGTAGATGGCGAAGGAGCGCCTGGGTAAGCTTGATACTGCTGTTGCTGTTGCTGCTGGGATAACCGAATATCAGCGTTAGCAAACTCAACATTGTTCCGACCGTAAGGTAGTTAATGACGATGACGCCAATACATGATTAATGATACTAAAAACCGTAAAAAACGAGGGGCAAAAAGTAAAAAGTGGACTCACATATCCACCAGCACCAGGCTGCAGCGATGCAGGAGGACCTCCCGTGTAGCCAGCGGGCGGAGCTCCCGAATAAGCACCGCTCATCTTCGGCGTGTTGTTTTGAGCGTTGGCGATTTTGGAGGCAAACTGTATGCAGAAGCAAGTAAATCGTCAGTCTTCGGCGAGTAGAGGGTTGATATATCATCATCATTATCGTCATCGTCATGCACAGCCTTATATCTGTCCTTGTTTTGATCGACTGACAACCTCTCATCACCCTCCATTTCAGACAAACAAACTCCGTTTAGGGAGAGCGGGGCAGAACGCGGGGCATATTTCTAAGAGATGATGGCAATACTTACCCCCATTGCTGTGGTGTGCACTCTTGAAACTGGGATAGGAATGTCACAGTTCACGGGACAAATAGAAAGAGTGAGAAGAGAGAATGTCAGAGATGGAGCGACTATAAAGTCCAAATGAAACTAAAATATGGAAGCTCAACTGGGGCAGTTTATTTGATGACGACTTTCGGCTGGAACTAGCCTGTCATGAGACCCGCTTATGGGTAGTTTTATTCTTAGTATCTAGCAGAACAGGACTGCCCTTTGGTTAAGAAGGAAACAACTGCATTCTTACTATATTGCCGAGGCCAGGCAAATGATCGAGTACTTGTAAGCTGCATACAACAAGAGAATTGTTGCTTGCAGGGCACATAGAAGACAAATGTACGGAGTAGTTCCCCTAGCAAAATGCGACAAAATTACCGCGAGAAGGCTATCAATCTCATCTCGAGGCTACAATTGCATAGAACATTGAAAAACATCGCATCAAGTACATCCCAGCGCGATATTATCTCCGTCAACATCCATGGGTCTCTCCTGACTCCGGAACTCAACCAACCATTGAACCATGGAGGCTCAAGGCTGTGCTGGGCTGTACAAACCTTGTGCCTCTTGACTCTTGGGCCTTTCCTCTCCATTTGCTGTGGCTGATATCACCGCGATTATCTTGTGCGCATTCATACATTGCTCCAATTGATTTAGAATTATTTATCTGGCTGTTTCGAATAAACAGCATAGTTGATTTTGCTATCGGTAACAATATCTGAAGAACCTTTTGTGTGCTCATCCACAAGTTTCATAACGGATGCATTAAGCGAGATATGCACCGCTTACTGATCAGTTCCATACAAGCGTCATCAACTACAAAACCATCTGTACAGCAGCTCACTGTACAGCAACACACCATTCAGGATCTGAGATGGGCATATGCTGATTTGGCAGTATTCCGTTAGATTGTTACGGTCATATGATCAAGACCATATAACCTTAGCACATATACTCGCCATATAGCATCTAATGGTCACTATCTGGTATGGCTGATGTCATCCCATAACGGATCCGGAGGAGGTCTAAAGAAGGGGGACTGCAGGGCTCACTCCCTTTTATCGTCTCCTACGTGGACTCCTAACCCTTTCGTCTAAGCCTTTCATCAAACAAGTCCCTTACTCCAGACATTATTTCTGAACAGGGCCTCTTCTCTTTTGGAGAGATGATTTCGAGTCGCTATCTTCCGATGGACAGCTCCTGTTTAGATAGCTTTCTACCTACCTAAGAAGCATTCAAGTACACTCGAAGGCTATCTCGGCAGCGCTCAATACAGTTGGCAGTCGCAGAGATGGCTCAACCACTCCTCCGAGTAGGAATCCTCGGCGCAGACAGCGAAGTAGTCCAGACCATCTACTCACCTGCCCTACGAGCCCTAGATCAAAACTTCAAAATCGCAGTCCTTCACAGCACAGCCAGCAGCGCCAACAATACGGGCTCCCCCCGAACCACCACTTTAATCGAGGATGTCATACACGATCCCAATGTCGATCTCATTCTCAACTTCCTCCCTAATGAGTATCACGAGACCTACACCATCGCCGCCCTCGAGGCTGGCAAACATGTCATGGTCGAAACGCCTGTAAGCCTTAGCATTAGAAGCACCAAACGGATCATCGCGGCCGAGAAGTGCGCGCCGAACGGGGCTAAGGTCTTCGTCGCCTGCGCGCGCCGCTACGTGCCGTGTTTCGAGGACGTGTTCAGGAAAGAAGTCGCGAGCCTCGACCGGATCTACTACGCTCGGTGCCGGAACATCGCAGGACCGCACACAGCGCATTCAGCCACGACGCCGCAGAAACCGACGGTACCCAAGACGTACAGTAACAGCAGCAGCAATGGAACGGGAACCGGCGACAAGCATCTCCTGCAGGGGCTTCTGGAGGAAGTATTCAGCGGACAAGAGCTAAGTCAGGACCGCATCGCGCTGTGCCAGTTTCTCGCATCACTGGGGTGTCACGATCTGGGTCTGATGCGGGATACGCTCGGCGCGCCGGATACGATCTCCACGATCTCGGTGAACGATCCGTTCTACTCGGCGATTTTCCACTACACGGATACTGCGGCGAGGGGCGGACACCCGTTTACCCTGGTGTACGAGACGGGTACTGACTCAGTGCCGCGGTGTGATGCGCACCTGGCTATCTATGGCCGTACAAAGACCGTGAGCATCTACTACGAGCTTCCGTATGCGCGGGGCCAGCTGTTGAGGGTGGTGGTGGAGGACATGGATGACCAGGGCGTGCTCAGGAAGACAGAGAGTGTGAGTAGTTGGGAGGATGGGTATCGGGAGGAACTGAAGGCGTTATATGCGTTTCTCGTGGAAGGCAAGCCGGCCAAGACGACGGCTGTAGATGGTCTCCAGGATCTAAAGTTGTTCCGGATGATGTTCGAGCAGTACGATCGGCAGTGCGGGACCATTCGAACTCCCCTTGGCTAGGAGCTTTTTGGGTGAAGGTCTTAAGGCAGAATTTCATTGACTGTTTTGAATGAGTTTGTTGAGGTTACTTTAGCTGACTTCGTTCCATGCCAGTCGCGTCCCTAGAATCTCGCTCTGGCGGAGCTTGGATATTCTGATTTCAGTTCTTGAATATGTTCGGTACCTTCATGAGTATCAATACAGGAGGTTGAAGATCGTTCAGGAAGGTGAATGGAGGCAATCTACATGCTTCGCAAGCCACAGTTCACCATAGTCTAGATCGCTCCCATGCAAGGCATCTCTCATAAGGCTCAATGCAACATGCGTCTACCGCTTTCCCTTCTTCTTCTTCTTCGAACTGGCGCCTCCACCTTGAGCCTTGGGCTGTGTGGTAGCCGGCGACTCCTCCGCCTTCTCACTGACAACACCACCCTGCATCCTCTCAGCAGCACGCTGCTTGCCCTTCCGCCCCTTGGGCCGATATGTGGACCGGTCGCGGAGAGGTAACCAGCGTTCCGGATCGGGAGCCTTGTTCGGATCGTAGTCCTTAGGAAGACGCGACTTCCTGACCCGTTTCGTCGCCCGGGTCTGGCTCTCCGCTGCAGTCCTCTTCCTCGCGCCGGCGATCGCGGCGGCAGCGGCTGCCGCTGTCGCCGAGGAAGGAGAGATGCTCGCTTGCTCCAGGGCGGCAATATCAACGTCTGCGATCAGATCATCGACAGCTGGGAGGCTTTCGAGCTGCGACTCGACCTTGGAGTAGTCGAGGGTGGCCTGCGAGGCGACGTAGCCGGCCACTGCGAATTGGTCGCCGTTGTTATTCTGGTACAGATCCTTGAACAGTTCTCCTGAGAGGGTTAGGTCTGCGTGGTCAGAGGAGTGTAGTAACGACGCCGCTGCGGCGCGGAGGAGGGGTACGGGGGCTTCGGCGCGGTTTCGCCAGTGGTTGGCTGCCTTGGCCAACTCTGACCGAATCTGACCCTTGCGGCCTTCAAGCTTGTACAAGGACACCAGCACCGTAAGGAGGCCAGGGCTGAAGCGGATGTCCTTATCCTGCTCGGCAATGGACTCGTCGAGGTTCTGGAGCAGTTTCTCCAGCGTGTTGATGGCGGAAGTAGTATTGCCTGCATTGACGTAGAGCTGAACGACAGTCAGGACCAGCCCAATGTCTTTGGGCCGTCTCTCCAAGACCGGGAGGATAGCTTTCAGGGCCTTGGGCCCGGACTGGCCTTGTGCGTGTGCGGCTGCGCTGTAGACCGAGAGCAGGTTGGTCCTGGCGTCGAGCGAGGGACAGGCTGCTTTGGCCAGTACTTTGGATGCGGAGCGGATGATGCCGTCATACTTTTGTACTAGAAGATCCGCGGCGTGAGAATTGCCCATCATCACATTATTCTGGTAGTCAAAGAGCTTATCGTTGTCGGTGGAGTCGGGGGTCTGGTGCAAGGCTTTGTACAGGGCATAGGGATTGGCGGCGGTGTTTTGAACGAGGGTGATATTGTGTTGGGCAATCTTCTTGGTGGAAAGCTCAGGGATACTGTATGGATGTAAGCTTCGAGTTGCGGTGCAATGAGCAACTGGGTTCACTTACTCATCTACTGAAATCTCCTTGAGCACCGACTCGGCTTCCTCAGACTTGCCTTGGCGGAGTAAAACGTACAGCTGCTGCACGGAAATGGGAAGCAGCTCAGCGGCCCTGTCCTCCGGGGTAAGGTCTTCCGAGGTCCGACAGAGTTCTGCAACATTGTTAGGGCCATGCTCGCCAGTCAGACCAACGTGTCATTGGTACGAACCTTTCGCCCGTTTCAGCAGCATTTCACCCTGTGCAAAATCTCCCTTGGCAATGCTCAGACATGCCGCGTTGTATACAGTCTCGAACGCTTCCAAATCCTCTCTTGTTGGCCTAGCATGTCGTACGGACTCGGGGTATCCTTTCCACTGCAATTGCGCATCCGCGGCCCACGAATTGATCCGAAGGTCGTTCTCTTCATTACCCATCGACGCCTTGTCCTTGGCCAATTCCTCGTAAAGCTCAGCGGTCCGGCGAAACTTCTCAGCGCGATAACTCTAGATAAATGTAATCCTTTGTAAGCCGCGGCTGGTCTCTCATGCGTTGTTCTCGGAGGTTAAAACTGGGGAAGAGGACATACGGCTTGAGCCTCCAGATGGTTGGCCCCTCTTCCACGAGCTATACGGGATACGACATTGATCGCCTCATCGGGCTGGCCGTGCTTGTAGAGGGCATATGCGTATTCCAAGGCAGCCTTCTTCTTCAACGCATCCCCGCTCTCTTCAAAGACTCGCAGGCAGTCCTCGTAGCGGTCAAGTTTCAACAAGGCCACCACCTTGACATGCTGGGCATTGATATCTGCTTTGGACTTTGCCAGCGCCGCATTGGCGGAGCTGAGCATCTCTTCATGATCGTCAATGGAGGCTCGTTGCAGCAACGAGCTCAATGACTGCGTAGCCATGGCGGCGGGGGTGTGATTGGAGCTGCGGCTGAAAGATACCAGCACGAGAGATGGGTACTGCGGAGTCCGGTTATTATTGGTCAAGGCTTCCAGATGCAATTCTGCCGTTATGGCAGGGTTGCCTTTGTGTTTGAAGGCGAACTGAATAATCCGGGGTTCTGGCTCGAATCCTCCACATGCCACAGTGTGCGGAAGACAGATATTTCCTTATTCGGGAATTTGCGTTTTCGGAGCTTGTGGACTGCCGTAATCTCTGCACAATGGATGACTAAGCCCGCTTCTACGCCAGAAGCTCTACTGATGCTGCAAAGATCTTGTTAAAAATTACTATTATTATTGATGATAGTGTGCTTCAACACTAATAATATGATCAATTATTACCTCTTGTACTCCTCTAATGCTTCTATGAACACTGAGTAACTCTCTTACTCTCTAGCACTATTTCTTGAACCCACCAGTATTGGGTTGCCGATATTCTTATTGGCTGAGGGTGGTGGACAATCCTTGCTCACTTGAAGCTCTCCCGATCCCGCGATCATCTTGAGGCACGTTGCATCTCTAGTCACTCATGGACACATATCATTGGTATGGATTTGGACGAGCAGAGGATGGACGTAACATCCAGCAAAAAGGGTGCAGTTACACTGGGGAGTACATAGTTCCACAGGCCTGGATTGACTCACGTGACCGCCAAGATAAGCGTCGTCATCCCGGATCTCCACTCGCTGCGTTGAGCATTGATTTTCGTCCGAATGCTTCGTTGCTTGGATGTCTTGGGTATGGAACTGTCAGTTCTTACGCGATCTGCTTGGTGGCGCGTCATTGCGTAAATGGTAGTGCAATGGTGGTGGTGATTATCGCTTAAACCCCTTCTCCAATCAACCAATTGAGTCGTCTTTGCCACTGCTGTTTCTCCGTTCGTAGTCTAAATAAGACAGACACTGCAGGTTCATTCCAATAATAGATAGTCAGGATATTGAAATAAACTGACAGGCCAAGCAACGATGGGGTTGATTTGACAGTTGACACACTGCCATCTATGTAGTACTCAACAAGAACGGGTTCTTTGTGGTGGTATCCTACTGAAAATCAGAGTAAAGACAGATGAGGTAGATAGTCGACGAATGCATCAATATCCATTACTCCGTACATGGCCCATGATGACGAATGAATGAGGAGAATGAAGCGCAGTATCTATGGAACAGAACTCAATGAGACGTGAACGTGAGGAGCAAAAAAAGCCATCATGGCCAAGGTTAAGGGACGCGGCTGCTGATCCATAGTCCACCGGCCCACTTTCCCTAGCCATTCGTGTCTTTCTATTCGCCTCTTTGCGTCTCCATGACGGGTTTTTTAGTCGCAATCGGCGTTGCATCCCACCATCCCGTGGTTGAGAGCCAGGCACTTTGGAGATACTTTTCTTTTATCCGGAAACTTAACTGGAGACCGACTTCCTGTTTGCCTCCCTTTTCTTTTTTTCCCCCTCTCTTTCTTTATCTTTCGTCTGTTTCTTTCAGATCTGAAGTGAACAAAGGAGAAGGGAAGAAAGACTACCCCTCTGTCCTCTCTCTCTTTCTTTCTTCCCCTATATATTTGATTCAAGGTCTAGACCCGGCTGTGACCTCCTGATCCGATTAGTCTCCCCGTCCCTTTCCCTGTCGTCGGAGGGGCTCCTATATTGGCCTCGCTCAGTCCACCTCCTCAACCCCAACCCAGTTTCTTCGCCGTCGGTCGGGATGCTCATGCTATTGTCGACACGGTAATCGGTTTCTGTCTCTATCGTCGCTGGCCGTTCGAGCTTGGGTTGAACGAGGGAAAGCGGAATACATACAGGACAAACTCAAATGTTGTCGAAATTCGAGGAGAAGCCCAGACCGGCAATGGGCGCATCATGGATGTGGAAAAGGAGGGTTCTGCGCTTCTCTGTCGTGCTGCTTCTCGTTGCTGGTTTTACTTATGAACTGTGGCCCCGCGTCGAGTATATGCCCGAAGAACCCCCGACAATTATACAGAATATCACCGTCACCTCGGGCGTCAAGTGCGAACCCGATTTTGACGTTCTCCGCCGTCTGGATGTTCGGAAACTTTCTCAGTATGAACGGCGTGAAATGATCGTCGCCCGTTCCTCGGAGCCGGAGCTCCCCATCCGACAACGGCTCAATATCCCCTTCCTTCAGCAACAATCGTCGAGCGATGAGGCTCGTAGGCTGGGTCTGCCGTCGCAGGACGATTGCTACATTAAATCCCCCGTTACGGTGGAGGTGCCTCCATCACCTGCGAACGTGGATGCTTCGCATATCGACTTTGGCGTTGCTACGACGCTAGAACGGCTGAACGACTCGTTAGACGCCTTCACCCACTGGGCTGGTTACACACGCACTCGTATTTTCGCCTTGATAGAACCGGATGAACGAGTGGAGGAAGTCCAAGCCAAGGCGGATAGCCTGGGGATCAACCTGTTTGTGACTCAGTCGGAGGAGGAGTACCAGACTCGATACTTTTCATTGGTCGCACATCTGGCCAAGAACATGCGGCCGCGGACGCGATGGGCCTGCGTGATCGACGATGACACTTTTTTCCCGTCCATGGCGGCCTTGGTGAATGCGCTTGCCGAATACGATGACACGAAACCAATGTACATTGGAGGTGTGTCGGAAAGTGTTTCGCAGATTGGCATATTCGGCCTGATGGGATTCGGCGGCGCGGGCGTCTTTCTGTCTCGACCCCTGGTGCAGCAATTGAGCAACCACGACGTCTTCGAAGCCTGTCAAGCCATGACTCACACCGGGGACCGGAGAATCTCACTCTGCATATACCAGCACACGGACACGAAGCTGACGGTGGATAATCGACTGCGGCAGCTCGACATGCGAGGCGACGTGTCGGGGTTCTTCGAGGCCGGGCGCGAACCACCCCTATCTGTGCATCACTGGAAGTCATGGTTCCAGGCCGACATGGCTAAACTCAGCGTCATCGCGAATCTCTGCGGGGATAAGTGTTTCCTGCGGCAGTGGCAGTTTTCAGACGGCTGGACCCTTACGAATGGCTTCTCCATCGCCAAATACAGTACCGAGATCGACTTGGACGACAAGACCATGGAGGTCTCGTGGGTCGGCGACAACGGAGCCGTCGACGAGTCGTACTTGCACGCGCTTGGTCCTCTCAGGCCCAAGGACATGGGCAAATTTAGCTATATCCTCGAGGACTCGGTGTTCCTTGGTAACCAAGTGCGCCAATGGTACGTCCACCGCGACGCCGAGAAGGGCGATCAGATCATCGAGTTGATCTGGAAGATGGCATAGACAATATTCCAACGCTGAGATGGCTGTGGTACACTCACTGTGTGGATATTGTTCTTTTCTTCACCCTTTATGCAATGGCTATTCTAGATGACGCATTCATGCCTGGCATGTCTTCACGTACATAATTCTTCCACTGTCCATATAGACTTTTGAGACCACTGCACCCGCCTTTACCAATATTTAATCAATCCTCTCCTGTGGCTTTAGGGTGGCTTGCTCGAGGGTGGCTTGCTTTCTTGCTAATAGGTTTCATAATGATACGCAATATACCCTTTCTTGCTCCAGTTGTTTTCATCTTAATTATACTGTATGACTTTAAGATGTAATCAGCTTCGGGAAGCCCAAAACCCAACTAAAGACCGCCATCTCTATAAGCCCGTGCTCGGGCTCTGCTCTGATAGCACGGTCTCCGCAATAGGCATTTCAAGTCATGGATCTAACTATATATCGAGCACCTCAGGTCCGAACCTGGCCGCCTCTTCATCTAGATCTTTAGGATCCATTCTTTCGGTATCGGCACCGGCACCCTGGTCTAGCTTGAGATTGAGGCTTGGATTCAAGCCATTACAGAACTAATTCCTGGATCGACAGAGACGCTTATGCATATGCCTACAGTGAAGAGTATTGGGGCCATACCCTGGCTTGGGCGCAGCCATGATAATTGATCAAGAAAATGAATTTGCCACAGCAATTAGACAACATCTTTCCAGGTCAGACCATAGGAGTGAAACTTGGTCAAACAGCAGAGTCTTTTGTCTTGGAGATAGTAAACGTAGCAATAAATCTCTCTCTGTCTACGCATGGTTGCAAATGGAGATAGATACTTCCCATGGGCTGACTGCAGGATAGCCCACAGAAGGCTGATTAACATTTGTTGCTTGGGCTTACTGATTACATTCGCGTCAAAGGTACGCTGAGTATAGCAGCTGGAGCTAGTGGATATGTCTAAACTCCGTACACTTGCAACCCATTATCCAGCCTTGGATCGCCGAGTCATATATAGACAAACATATGTACAGATAATCAACATAAGGATGTACATCGAAGTCACTGAAAAATACACCCCACAACGCGGGTATCCGTATCCAATACCTACATCCGATTCTCTACTTCGTAGTCCATTATCGTGCCGCCCGAAGAAGATGTATATCGTGAAATGCCATGGGGGGATGGGATATGCGGTACCGAGGCAGGGACAGGAACAGAAACAGGGACACGGTCCGATTCTTCTGGCTCTGGCTCTGCGGCACTAAGCAGGTCCCATCTACTCTGGGTTTGGTCGCGCCAGGATGGCGTGGGTCCTGAGGGAGGCGCGGTAATGAGGGGGAGAAAATTGCTCATGTTAATGGAGCAGTCGAGGCCGAGGATGCTCTTTGAGCGATTGAGGAGGGTGGGGAAGAGGTATGAGGGGGAGCCGCGGATGCGGGACAGGGTGCTGAGGAGGCTCCAGAGGAGTTCGCGGGGGTCAACGGCCGATTCGGCGAGGTGGTGGGAGGCTTTTGAGCCGAGGGAGCGAGTAACGTCTGCGACGGCCATGCCTATGTCGAAGAGTTTTTGTTCCTGAAGGAAAGGCAAGTCAAAGTCAGTCCATTGGCCGGGTTAGGATATCAGGCGGGGTTGAAATAGCTTACCATGCCGATTCCGTGAGCATCGACTGATGCCTGGGATGCAGCACCGATGACATCTATCACGGCCTTT